TGTCAATCTCCCCAACCTCCACAATCGGAGAAGAATCTGAAGAATCTCTACGTCCCTTCTTAGCAACCATTTTGCATTTTCTTTCTTTATATAGACTATAAAAATCAAGATTCACTACCTGATACAGAGACACACACACACACACACAGAGTTCGAATTCATTAATTAAGCAAAATCAAACAGTACCAACACACACGGAATAAACCAAATCCCTAAGAACAGGTTATTAAAGGAAAAACTAATTAAACGAAGATCAAAGATAGTAACTTTTAATTTGATATGCTTAAACACAATCAACAAGATTTGGTACAGATTCTATAAATCAAAGAGACTAGTCTTAGAATAAAGAAGCGTCTCTTCCACCGACGAAGAAATCTCCAAAACCAACGATGGTGACCAAAATTTCGATTCGTACCTGATCTTTCCGGTTTTGAAATTTATCGTTCTTATAGGCCGACGAAAAAAACCCAGAAACGTGAAATCGAAACCGCGCCAAGAAAATCAAGGAAATAATCTAAAGGAGCGATTTTTATCTTTTCTCTGGAAGAGAAAAAACGATCGGAAAAAAAAAAGAAACGTTAATCAGATGAAGAAATTCCGGTCTCGACGACGATGAATATAATCGAGAAGGGCAAAAAAAAGATTTGAGCTTCGAAAGTTTTGAAATTTCTTCTGTAAATCAGAGAGAGCAAAGTCAGTGGCGAGGAGAGAGAAAGAAAGAGACAGAGAGGAGAGAGGGACAAGAAAGGGAAGTGTATTTGGTTGACAAATGGCAGCTTTTTATTGGTCACCGATAAACCTAATTGTTTGATTTATAACTTTTTTAATTTTCCTTTTAACCTTTTGTGTTAGCGCATAATTCGTCATTAATAAAAATCCCTTTAACATATAATACTACATACTTACCTCGAGATAATATTTTTATATTAAGTTCTAAGTGAGGAAATAAGATACTGGATTAAGTAATTGTTATCGTGTTATATTGATAATCTAGCATAATTCATATGATATGGCCCAGTCAAGATAATTACGAGAAACTTTCTGCAAATTCGGAAAAATTGTGTGGAGATTGATGGGCAAATGAAAATCTCTTTCGCACGTGAACAAGACGACATGTAATGCTAAAAAGATAGTTCTGATTATATTCATTTTGTTATCTATATAGCTTGACTAGTCAACATAGGCCAAGGCTTCTAAGTTATAATGATATCATATTGACAATGATTTGTAATTGTACTTGTGTATATATCACATTTAATACAAATATAGAAAAATATCTAACTCTCTTCTTTGTTGCAATTTTCCATTCGAACGAACATTACCTCTTTTGATTCTTATATATTTCGTGACTTAATCAAATATAAGGACAATACGTATCTATATCAATTTATTACGTTTTCTATAATAAGGTTATAAATATTTACAGTTTTCATAACCCATTTATATCTCTAAAACTTCATTTAAAAAACTTATAGATAATCAAATTAAAGAGCATGTTCATCCATAAAGGGATAATCAATCGTATTAAAAAGTAGGTGAAAATAATTAAACAAGATTACAATATTGATCTTTTTGTGAACGTACTAATGACTTTTTATGTCGTTAAGATATTCTTAATGGCGATGGTAGAGGCTGAACCCTGCTATTTGGTAAACAAATGCGTCGATCTCATCTCCGTCTTCAAGCTCAAGCTGCAATACTTTTTCCTTTCTCAATATGACTCATATATAATTGGAGTAATTCTTATGACAAAACTTAATAATTAATTACCTCATTGGGAGTTTGATTGGGTTTGATCCTAATTCCATCCAAGTGGAACTTAAAAGCTGACATTTCTTCTCCAACTTTGTCGGAATATGCTTGCATCATCGTACGGAGCTCAACGTCCTTCTTAATCCGGAAGTACACACATATGTCATCCTGTTTTATTATATTTACAATGATTTTAACATGTTAATCTATACGCATCTTATTAACTCGTCTTAATTTTCATGCCAACGTGTATGAAAAAGTGATTGTTTTCAGTTTTCAAAATAGCATAACAAGAAAGTGGTCTTTTAAGACAAAATTAACTTATAAATAACATTATCTTATTGTGTGTATAATGGTTAATTTCAATAATACAAGTACCTGACTTTTGATTTTGACGGTGATATGTGACGACGGAATCAACGGTTTTTTGTCAGCTGCAGACATCTTCACACTTCACTTTCTCTTGTGACGGTTGGATAGTTCTAGACTGATAACATGAAACATATATATACACACAACAAACGTAAGCACAGATATAGATACAGATGAATCATATCATTAAGTTTTGGTTAACAATAAAGTTGGAGATGAATTTTTGAATCATACCATTAAATTTAAAACCTTTTAGTTTTCTGTTCCCATTTATTTTCCTCTCATAGGGAATTAAGTATAAGTTGATCGGTCTGAATTTTGATCATCACAAACTTTTATGCACCCTTTCTGATTTTTCTCACTTTCTGATTTATGCACAGATTGAAAACGAGATTAATCATTTTTGTTTTCAGATTTGGCGGATCACAGAACGGTCTCCAGTAATCGATTAAGGGCTTAGCTATAATCCAGTATGGGCTTAGAAAAGGCCCATCAAGATTTCAAACATCATTGTGTCATGTTTGTGATTTGTATAAGCTTGTGTTAACAGCAATTATGATTTATCAAGTTCTTATTTTTTTTTTTTTTTTTTTTTTTTTTTTTTTTTTTTTTTTTTTTTATCAAGTTCTTATTTGTTTTCATCTTTTTCATTAAATTCATAAATATCATTTTGAGCAGAATTAAATCTAAATATCTTTCATGGTTTTAATTTTATGACTTTATATTAGAGTATCTTTCATGGTTTAAATTCATATATATTCCAGTTAAAAATTTCAGTTTGTCACTATTGTTTTAATGATTTGGCCAATGAAAAAATTATAAAATATATTAATAAAGGATAATACATAAAATTTAATGATTTTCTTAATTTGTGTGAGAAAACTTTAAACGACATGTAATTCGAAACGGAGGGAGTATAAGGACAATGCCCATCTATGTAATTTATTACATTTTCTATAATAGGGTTAATATTTACATTTTAGATTATCCATTCATATCTCTAAGAGCATGTTCAACCATAAATTACTTTAGCGTTGTTTTACCATTGATAAATAACCAACTTTTGTAGTACTAAAAAGTAGATAAAAATAATTAAAACAAGACTACATTATTGATCTTTTGTAAGCCGTTCTAACGACTTTTAATGTCGTTAATGTACTCTTAATGGCGATGAAAGAAGCTGAACCCTCCTAGTTGTTCACCAAATGCTTCGATTTCGTCTTCATCCTCAAGCCCAAGCTGCAATCGTTTTTGTTAATTTATCAACTTGATTCATACATTATTGGAGTAATTTTATTAATAAATACCTCGTTGGGAGTTTGATTGAGTTTGATCCTATTTCCATCGAAGAGGAACCTGAGAGTAGACATTTCTACTCCAACTTTTGCGGAATATGCATGCATCATCGTACGAAGCTCAACGTCCCTCTTAATCCGGAAGTACACACATATGTCATCCTGTTTTATTATATTTACAAAAACTTTAACATGTTATACGCATCTTAATTTTTAGGGCGGTTAAATATTATGATTTTTGCGATAAAAGATATACACTTTTGTTCGGAAAAGTATTTTGTAGAAAATATGTATTTCTCTGTCAATATATTAAAAAAACAAAAAAAATCTAAAATCCAAACACTAATTAACATTTCAACTCAATGATTTTTTTGCTGGCTTGCAAAATCTCGAAAATACTTGTCACTAAGTAACTTGTGTTTGAAAAAGTTCTTGTTTTCACAATAGCATGACAAAAAAGTGATTCTTTTGTCAATATTGAGTTACAAATACTACGATTATCTTATTTTTAGCAAATATAATGGCAAAATTTATTCAGGTACCTGATTTTTGACTTTGACGGTGATATGTGACGACGGAATCAACGGTTTCTTGTCAGACGTCGACATCTCTTCACTTTCACTTGTGACGGTTGGATTGTTCTTAACTGACTAGTTACATGCAATATATATACACATGTAAGCACAGAAATACAGTAAGTGATGTAGATACAGATGAATCATATCATTAAATTTCGATAAACAATAATGTTGGAGATGAATTTTGAAGCATCATTAAGGCATTAAATTTTAAACCTTTAAGTTTTCTGTTCCCATTTATTCTTCCCGTGGGAACTGAGTATATAAGTTGATCGTTTTGATCATCACAAACTTTTATGCACCCTTTCTGATTTTCTCACTTTTAAGTTTGAACGAAATAAAACGAAAATCAAATTTATTTTAAATTCGATTGAAAACGAGATAAATCATTTTGTTTTCAGGTTCACGGAACGGTCTCCAGTTATCGATGAAGGGCTTAGCTATAATCCAGTATGGGCTTAGTAAAAGCCCATCAAGATTTCCAACTTCAAGTGTGTTTTGTATAAGCTTGTGTAACAGCAATTATGATTTCTCAAGTTCTTGTTTGTTTTCATCTTTTTAACTAAATTTATAAATATCTTTCATGGTTTTAATTTTATGACTTTTGGTTTCTATCACCTTTTTAATTACCGCTGACTTTATTTCAACTTTTAGTCAAATACTACTAGTTATCTTTTCTACTTATGTAATAATGAAACATGTTTGATTTTTACTAAGAGAAAATAACAAAAATGAGCACAAGATAATATATTAAAAAATCAAGGAAAAAGACACCATAAAATAAAATAAAAGAAAAACCAAAAAGACCCAAGAGAATCATTACATATAGACACAGTAACTGTGTTTTTCTTTTTTTCTTCCTTTTTTTTTTCAGATAAAGTGGCAACACGATTTTACAGCATTTTAAGAAGAACAAACAACTTCAAAGAAGGAATCATAATCGTGATACTAAAGGTGGTGAAGCTCCAAATCATCTTAGGAACTTTTTTTTTTTTTTGTGTGGGTAATTTCAAGAAAGACAATAAAACATAAAAAGAACCATTGCTTTAGATGTGTAAGCACTGTGACATTCTTTGGGCAGCAAGCAAATCCATCTTTGTGTCTGTCAAGAGTCCACAGCTGGAGATTGCATGCAGCAGAGCCATTTTTTCTGAAACCAAAGAAAGAGCCCATTTGGTGTGACAATCGATCAAGATTTCAAGTTAAGGAGATAAAGATGAAGAAGAAGAAGAAGAAGAAGAAACTTACAGGCTGAGGTTTACTAGGATCTCCTCCTCCAGACTTAGCATGACCCTCACTGGATTTACCGGGTGATCCAGGTTTGCCACCAGTCTTTTTCTCATCCCTAGCTTTGTTGAATATCACTGTGAAACCTTCTGCTGATGCTGGATCATTCACATCCCATTCACCAAATTTCGGCAAGGGACGACCTTTGTCCTGTTGTTCATATAAAAACCAAATGGTGAAATCAAGAAACAAGTTCAATCTTGCCAATTAGATGAATTCATTGTCTATTCACATGTATTTAAGTGTATGGCTTATCTAAAATGAATCTAAATTCAAAACTCCTGAAAAAAGAAGAACGACATCCGATAAAAGAAAGGATAAAGGATAAGCCTTTCTTCATTGTAAGCTAAGCAAGTCTTAGGTGGGATCACACACAAAAGAGAAGAGGCAAAGATAAACAGAAAAAAGCATCAACCGAGTAAATACGAATGGGGACTTTAAGTAATGAAACCTTTTATATCATCAAGAATCAAGAAAATGGTTTGTACAATTTGCCCAAACTAATCATATTTCTATTTTCTAGCAAACAATATACACCACAAGTCAAAAAAATTACCAAAACTAAACCATAAGAGAAATGAAAAGTTCCTAACAACTTTATTATCCATTTGATTAGGTGAGAAAATAATAAACCCAAGTTTGAAAGTAGTGGATTTCAATTGTGTCTCTAAATAAGCAAACAAATCCACAAAGCAAAAAGAACTTATGCTTGTCCTTAAACAATGCCACACAATATTCATGCCTCTTTCACTATCAATGAATCAAAGAACAATCTATGCAAAAAAGATAAGCTAACACAAGACAACAACTTCTCTTTATCAAACACTATTTCATCTCAAATCCAAGAATCAGAAACTCTTATATCAAAACCTAAGCTAAAACCAAAATCAACCCCTTTCAAAAAAAATAATAATCAAAGCTTAATCAATCAAAATCAGAAAAAAGTTCAAAACTTAAATAAAACCCGAGATCCAGAATAAGGATTATCAGATTCAACAAAAAGACAATAGCTCATCAGAATCACAATTTCATATCTAAGATTTCCACAAACAAGGTTCAAATAACAAAAACCCTCCAATAAAAATGAAACATAGAATCATCAAACTCACCAAAACGAAACTAAAATTCTGAAAACCAAACAAATCGAATTCAAAACTGTTCTCAAGCATATGTATATAAAAATCTTAAAAGAGAAAAGAAGATTTAAACGCACCGACATGGCGTCTGCAGAAAGGAGGAAGATTTATCCCAAGAAAAATGGAGAAAACGATTTAGGGGAAGAAGCCGCCGAGAAAACCAAGGAAAGTGAGAGAAAATATTTTTGATCGGAGAACAAGAGAGAGAGAATCTGGGAGAAGAAAAAAGAAAAAGAGAGACTTTTTTAATTTTCTCTCCTTTTTTGATTTTTATTCTAAAAATTCTTTTTTGCTTCTTCTTTCTCTTTATTATCTCTCTCGGTGCGGTGTGTCTGTAACGGTTTATATAAACGGAGTTAGGACCCAAGTGACGTGTATGTCTTTGGTTTTTTAAACGGAAAGATGAGCTGGCTAACGACTGTTAATTGTGAGAGCATATATGTTGGTTCAGACCAATGCAGAGCAAGTGTCTTGCTGGCACTGTTTTGTCTTTTTGCATTAATTCTCTTTTTTTTTTCAGCTAAAAAAGTTTTTTTATTTATTACTTATTTAATAGATTATCAATTTGAATCATACACATATCAATTGGCTAAACCTTATTTTTTCAAATTCAGGTTGTTTTTTAAAGATAATCTGAAACGATTTTAGTCAAATGATGAAACTAGTTGTTCATTGTAATTAGAGATTAGACTTTAATCAAGTGGCATATATGTTTGATGAAATATGATTACTTTTAAGTAAATAATTGTCTTCTTTTTTTTTCCTGTTGTTTGACAAAATTCTTAATCTAAAATGTCATCTGTCACTCATTTACCAATTTTACCAAACTAATACTATCTTAATCCACTTGTTCGATTCATGTTTTAGTTTTTCTATATCTTTAAGTATAGTATGTTAGAACAATAAACAATAAAGATTTGGTAAATTTAAAAATTAATTTGTTGAATAGTAGCTGCGACAATTTTTTGTACAAAGTATTTTGTTTATTCCTAATAGGTGTAACCAGATTTTGATATAATAAATTAATAATGATCTTAAACATGTTACATATTTGATGTAAAATAAAAGTGTTAGCAGACTAACAGACAATCAACACATTTAAACATATAATACTATTTGTGTTACAGGAGGCTCACGAGTGGGTACTGTAAAATGGAACAAATCCAGTGATGCAAATCTGACTAACTGTTAGATTCTGTCTGCATCAATATCCATCAGACACCATCCCAACACAACAACTAGTTTCTCGTTGTTCCGACATATTCTTCAAAAGATTCCTCAAAGACATAGAAGAAGCTTTTTTGGCTTCCATGGCTCTGCATCATTTTCCCTGAACCATTATCTTTGGTGAGTCCAGATTGATTACAGGTGAATTCAGCACATGAAATGACAACACAGTTCCAGCTATTAAGAGCTTTGTTCCTCCTGCTGCTTTGTCTCTGTAAAGAAAAGAAATATGTAAGAACAACAAACAAACAAGATCTTTAATGCAAGTGGAGTTAAAGACAGCGTTTACAAACAAACCCACCTGGAAGTTTTAAGAGATTCAATCAAAGTCTCATTTGGTCTAGTTTTTGAGTTGTATTTGTCAGAGAAAGGAGCCAGTAAGGTTGCAGCTTCACTGTCTTGCTTGTCTTGTTCTGTATATACAGTACAAGGTTAAGCTTCTGGAACTGACTGGCACTCACATCAAGAACTGTCAATGAAACAAGAGAAAGTAAAATAATCACTATCATGCATAATTTATTGTCAATCAGAGAGAAGAATGAGTAAGATGCATACTGTGAATCAGACACAGCTCAAGGAGCTTTAGCTGGTTCCTCTAGTGAACATTACTCTGCACATCCAGCTCTTCACGGTGATAGAACTGTAATATCATCTGGAAAACAGAAAACACAATATATAAGGATTTCAGAAAGAGTTACAGACCTTAGGATTCAGAACGAACCGTGCTACAGTGAAACAGATGCTTGCGATAAGCGTTAACACTAATTTGCTTAGGGAAGTTGATCATATGATTACTCTTAAAGCTTGTTCTAATGCTATCCCTTCTTGTTACTTTGCACGGCCTTCAGCTTCTCCATGGCCATTGTCAAGGTTTTATCTTGTGACAAGCTCATGGCTGTTATGAATCCTCTTGCAAGTAAATCTTTCAAGATGATATCAGTCCCAGAGAATTCGGTTCCTTGGGAAAGTATTCCACCGACGAGAGCTTTGTAAGTAGTCACATTAGCTAAAAATCCATCTCGTTTCATCTCTTCAAAGAGTTCAAATGCAATTGCCATATCACCTTTGGCGCAAAGTCCAGTAATCAATACATTGTACGACACGAGATCAAGCTTCAGCCCACAATTGCTCATGACGACTCTCAATTCCAGGGCCTCTGTAACATTACCGTTCTTGCAAAACAAGTGCATTAGAGTAGTGAAACTAGCAATAGTCGGAACCAACTTCATTTTCAGCATAGACCGAAGAAGTAGCGAAGCTTCGTCAGCCTTACCGCATTTTGCAAGCGCTCTCACCATTGCACTCTCAGCTACATTAGGCGGACATATCTTATGTGCTATCATCTCTTCCTTCACCACAAACGCAGTCTTTATATCTCCCACTCTACAGAGACCGTTAAGCAGACCAATGTATTTCCTACTCTCGGGAGATATCCCTTGCTTCGACATTTCGTGCAAAACCATGCGAGACTCCTGGAATCTGTGGTTCCTGTTGAGGACACTTACAATGGCGTCACAAGTATTTTTGTCAAGGGAAATTCCCAGAGAGGTCATGACATTAACCATATCAAATGCCCAGTTGATCTCTCCATTTGCACAGCACTTGGAGATTAGCATGTTAAACGTATGCCTGTCAACTTCAACACCTCGGCATATGAATGCTTTCAAGATTTTAAGACCAATCTCCAACATGTTGGATTCACAAATCCCAAGAATAATAGAATGGCATGTGAGCTTGTCAGGTAAAATGCCGCTCAGTATCATGGATCTATACAGCATAAAGCTTGTTGATACGTCTTTCCTCTTTGAATACCCATGCAAAAGAATATTGTAGGTAGTTAGATTAGGACCTTGATTTTGGTTCCCCATCTCAAAAAGTAGGCCATGTGTCTTCTCTATTTTCCCCATCCTTGAGTAACCGTCAATCATTGCATTTGTTGTGACAACATCACGGGTAAGGCCAAGTTTATCCATTTGCTGCCGAAAGTAAAAACCAGCTTTCCACTGGCCAGCCTTGAACATACCATCCACAAAACAGGTATACATCACCTTGTTGGGAAGTAAATTACCTCGAGCCTCAGCTTCCTTAGCAAATAGTACGGCAATAACGGTCTTGCCCTTCCTACATAACCCAGAAATAAGACTGGTATATGTAAAACTGTCAGGCAGAATGCTTCGCTGCACCATCTCACCAAAAAGTGAGACAGCCTTGTCCAAGTTCCCTGATTTACACATAGCAGTGATTAGTGTGTTGTACATTACAGTATCAACAGCTGCAGGGACATTTTGGAGGCTTTTCAGAAACTTCTCTGCGGCTATCAAATGCCCACCTTTGCATAATCCCTTGAGCAGGCTACCATATGTGAAGAATGTTGGGTGATGACCTACTTTGGTCATCTCATCAAATACAGAGAACGCTTTTAGCCCTTCACCTGAGCTTCCATACCCATTGATAAGACAATCAAAGCTAACTGCGTTAGGAAGAATACCATCACTTGTCATGCAACGCATAAATTCTTCTGCCTCAGTCACTTTACCAGCTTTACACAGCGAAGTAACAAGTACATTGAACGTGAAATGGTCTGGAGTATGGCCCTCAAGGATCATAGCTTCATAAACTCTTATTGCTTCCTTTAAGCATCCCATCCTGCAACAATTGTATATCAGGGTTGAGTAGATGATGCCATTTGGACTAAGACCAGCTCGGTAAATTCTACATACTATCTCCTTAGCAGTTTTCAACCTCCCCACCCTGCAAAATCCATTTATAAGAGCAGAGTATGTGACAATATCAGGATCAATACCATCTTTGCTCATTTCATTAAGCATAACAACTGCTTCATCCAAAAACCCATTTTTGCATAACCCATCAATCATTCCAGTGTATGTTACTCGCCCAACACAGACCCCATTTCTCTTCATTCTCATGTAAAAGCCTCTTGCTAGATCAAACTCTGCATTCTTGCACAACCCATCTAAAAGTACACCATAGCTAACTTCAGTAGGTATAAGACCTTTTGCTTCCATCATATAAAACATCTTCAAAGCCTCTTTATAGTTTCCCTCACTAATGTGTCCATCAATCAAAGCATTGAAAGTAACATGATTTGGGGAAAGTCCAAAGGTTAGCATCTCGTTCAAAAGTTGACGAGCAATGAGCACCTTTCCTTCATTAGAAAAACCGTTAACAAGTGTATTGTACGTGACTTTGTTGGGGTGAATCATCCTCTTCCTCATATCCCTCAGCAACAAATAACCTTTGGCACTTCTATTGCTTCTGCACAAATTGTGGATAAGCATATTATATGTACAGACATCAGCGTCGACCCCCTTCGAATTCATGTGATCTATAAGCTCAACAGCAGCTTTAAATCTTCCCTTTTTACAATACCAATGTAATACAGTATTGTATGTAACTATAGTTGGCGCATAACCGCTCTTCTCCATCTTTTGCATTAGATAACACGATTTTTTAAAGCTTCCTTCAGAGCAGAGCACATTAATTAGTATATTGAAGGTAGCCACATCAGGACAAATCTTCCTCTTAAGCATTTCCTTCAAGAAAGACCAGACTGACACATCCTCACAACTCTTTACAATGGAACCTAGTATTGCATTACAAGTATATACAGACGGGTTGAATCCATAAAGACCCATCAAGCGAAATATTTCCAGAGAATCTTGAATCATTCCTTCTCTCAAATATACTCTAATCAAGATGTCGAAAACCGAAGGGTTTGAATTGCAAAGCCGGTAAGTGGCCATCAAAGCACCAAAAACAAAGCTTGATTTACCACTCATCAAAGATAACTCCTTCAAGATTTGCCTAGCAGGGTCATACATTCTGGCTCTAACAAGTATATGTGTAGTAATACAGAACAACTGAACAATATGTTCAGTATCCAAACCAGGCTGTTTCACTACCCATTTAAGAAACTTCAAAGCCAGCTTCCCATGAACTGGTCTAAGACGAGCCTGTCTATAATCCATATGATTTAGAGATCCCCAACGATCAATTGTAAGAATGTTATATATGCTCTTCTCCATATCAAATCCTGTTTCATAAAGCCACAACAAGTTCAAATCTTTAGCAAAACCCATCTAGAAGATTCAGGAGAAGAGCATTATAGGACTCAAAATTCAGCAAAATCCACTAATATTTTCACTCTACAGTTCTAAAAATTGAATTTTTACACCTCTAATCAGAATCCTGCTATATACTATACATGTACAGCTTGAATTGATTTAAAATAACTCCGGAAACGAAATAAGAATATGAAGCAACCAAGTAAAGAAGAGAAACTCACCAGAGACACCAAATGGTTCGTGAGAAGCATAATCATCTCGTATCGACTGTTTTACAGCACCACAAGAAAACCTTACTCGAGAGAAACATCTGAATTTCGAAAAACTGAGACGCAACAGAGAGATTGCTCCGTTTCTATAAGAAATTAAGCTCGAGAAACCAGACATGGCTGCTTCTTCAGTCAATTCAAAATGTTTCTCCTCCTCCTTCGCTGTGTTTTCTCTCTCTCGCCATAAACTGGAAACGTCGTTGGGCCGAAAGTTAGAAAGGCCCGTTTCATATTAAATGGGCCTATTGGTGCAAGCCTATAATACTCAACCGTGTCAATCTAAATCAACACGTGCCTAATTTAGTGGGTCCTGTAACTAGCGAGTTCTCAAGCAAACGGACGGCTGAGATTTAACGTCAGGAGCGTAGGGGTAGTTGAGCTGTCGATGACGACTTAAAGTTTTGCCTTGTTCATTTAGGTGATAGCAACTTCCGAGTTTCACGCGTGCAAGAGATTTTAATCCACCTCAATAATAATTTATCACCATTACAGGTCTTTTGCTCAACATTGCAAGAAACTTTAAAATTATTACTCTCTCCGTTTCAGTTTAGTTGTCGTTTTACGATTAAAATTTTGTTTCATAATAGTTGTCGTTTTAGGTTTTCAATGCAAATGTTTGGTGAAAATTTATGTTTTGTCATTAATGTTTTAATGTTTTAATGTTTTGACCAATGAAAAAATTATAAAATATATTAATAAATGGTAAAACAGAAAATTTAATAATTTTCTGTTTTTGTGTGCGAAAACCTTAAACGACAACTAAAACGAAACGGAGGGAGTAGCAACTAATTATTATACCATATAAAAGCTTCAAAACAATTTTACAAAAAAAAAAGAGCTTCAAAACCAAAACATTGGATTCATTGATTCTGGTCTCACTTAGAAAAAGAAATTGGAATTTTCTCTTCAAGTGATATCTGTATCTAGTACTCTCGACTTATTTGAAGTGGTATTATATAATTTTAATAAAAATTAAAAATGAAAATATAATTAATGTGAAAGCGAAATGGTAAGAGAGTGAAAGGGAGAATCTCTAATATTGTAGAAACTTCCAGATTCATGACTCTAAGAAATCTCAGAACCATTTTCAGCTTCGTTTTTCTATGACACACTATAGCCGGTCTCCACCTCTTATCACCGGTTGTATCCAGTAAACTCATCCTCCTCGCTATAAATGAGAGTCACAGAGCCACCGTCACTGCTTTACTTACGCCGCACGTCACAACTCTTTTTCTTCTTCTTCTTCAATTCATCCTGGAGAAGAAGATGAAGAAATGTTGACAGAAGAAAGAGAGCACAACCTGGGATTAGCAAAAAACAGTTTTGCCCTTGTCGGGAGTGTGCTCTCTTTCCTTCTGCCACCATCATCGCGCATTGCGCCATGTGATGTGATCGTGTCATGAGCGTATGTTATGCATCTTCATAGATAATCTGATTGCTTCAACAAGGTTTCTTCACTAGCAAGTAAGGTACGTAACTTTGATCAAATCTTTAATGATCTTGAAAACTGGGTTTTGGCTTTTGATTGCTCTGTTAATCTTTCCCTATTTAGAAATGAGCTTTTGTTCTAGATTCTGAGATGGGTTTATATGAAAACATAGACGTAATCGTTCAATAGAAACTCATTGAACCAAAGGCCATACACAGTATTATACAAATCAAATGAAAAAATATCTATCAAAACGAAAGAATTAAAAGTGTTATACTAAGATACAACGTACACGATGCTGTCTCCTTCTTCATCTTCTGAGACAATATCATCAAGACTTAACCCACAAGAGAAAGACAGTGTAGGTTTCATCTTCGGAACCGGACTTGGCTCAACCTCATTGTTAAGTATCTGAAGTACACGTCTCATTGATGGTCTCTCATTACCATCTGGATGAGCACATTTAAGACCCACAAGCAACAGTTTCTTCATCATTTCTTCATCAAACTCACCTTTCAATCTCTCATCCACAGCTTCAAGAACTCTTCCTTCACTGTGCAATCTCCAAACCCAATCCACTAGATTCACTGTCTTTTGACTCTCTGGTTCTTTATCTATTGGCCTTCTCCCACAAGCAACTTCTAAAATCACCACTCCGTAGCTAAAAGCATCTGTTTTCTCAGTAGCAGTGCCGTATTGGAGATACTCTGGTGCCAGATAACCCATTGTACCAGCGGTTAAGGTTGAGACAGGGCTTTTATCGTGCTCCGTGAGTCTAGCTAGACCGAAATCGCCAAGCCTTGCGTTGAAGTTTATGTCAAGCATTATGTTGCTCGTCTTAATGTCTCTGTGAACCACTTGCTGCTCACACTCATGGTGAAGATAAGACAAAGCTGAAGCCAAACCAATCGCTATATTCAGCCTATGTGACCAGTCAAGAGCCACAGCTCCTGTTTCTGATTCTTGATACAGAATCTTATCAAGACTTCCATTAGGCATGAACTCATAGACAAGAAGCAATTCACCTTTCTCGTTACACCAACCCTGCAACTGAACAAGATTCTTGTGCCGCAAGCAAGCAATGATCGATAACTCTGCCAAAAACTCTGTTTTACCTTCGGTTGAGTTATGTCTCGATCTTTTCACAGCGGATATCGTCCCAGAGGAAACAAACATAGCTCTGTAAACATTCCCAAACGCTCCTCTTCCAATGACTCTACTCGAATGAAACCCTTTTGTAGCTGTGTAAAGCTCTCTGTAACTAAACTCTCTTAAACCTGTGATTAGCTCAGTCTTAAGCTCCTTCTCTGCTTTCACACTTTTCCATTTCTTCAAAGTGAAGTACCCAAACACCAAGAGAGCTACACAGATTAACACCGGACAAGAAATACCAAGTCCAATAGCAAGATTGTGTCGATGCTTCCGCTTCTTACTCGGTATAGCCACAGGATCATCATTCACAGAACTATCTGAAACATTGTGAAGATGATTAGATTTCGATCTCACCGGAAGAAACCCAGAAGTCTTGAAACTCCAATTCTCAATCAGATGAATCTCTGTGCTTCCTTCTGTTGAACCTGAGAATCCTACATACATTTCACCATTCAAGAACGGAGAAAGATCGATCTTCACTGATAAAAGAGGCTTCTCTGGCTTCTTCGTGGTTACGATTGGATCTGTATAACTCAAGAACACATTCAATAAACGTAAATCGTTCTTGTAATCGATCCAAGAAGTGATCGATTTACCAGATTTAAGATCAATATGAGCCGAATTCGAAGGATCTGAAGTAGCGATTGAGTTCAAACTATCAACATCTAAACCAACGTGATTACCACTTGGATCGTTGAAATGAGGATCCAATTTCGTATCGAATTCGATAGCGACGAATCGATTCTTCATCGGCTGAGAGGAATTGACGAGACCTAAGTAACCACCGGGACTACCTAAAGTATCGTTATCATGAGAGAGGAAGAAAGCGAGTCCGTCACCGGCGGAGGTTGGATCTGGGTTTAAGTTTTGAACGGAGAAGGAGAAGTGAGTGGAGAAAGACGCCGTGGTGTTTGAATCCGGATCGTAAAAACGAATCGGAGTGTTGTAGATTACTGTACCGGAGCTTGTATCGGGAACACCGAGCTCTCTCGTGAGACCAACGACGCCGTTTCTGAGATGTGAATCGCCGAGGAAAGTGAGGTTACGAATCGTGAAGGATTTGAATGTGAAATTCACGTTATCGGATGATACGAAGATTGGTTTCGCCATGGATAGAGCTGTTATCCATGTGAAGAAGAGAACAAGAAGCTTTCTTGAAAGAGACATTAGAGAGAGAGAAGAGAGAGTTTTGGTCTAACTGTGGTGGGAAAATGGATTCGAATTGATTATGAAGAAGGTGAGGGTATTATAGTAATCTCTGTGTGGCAACGGTTATTAAGGGTGGTGAAGATACGATGTCGTTTTTAAGTGTGGGAACAAAAGTGGTAGAGCGGGTCGAGTGGGGTCTGGTAAATGGACGCAAAAATCAAAACTGACCGTTTTAATGGAATCTATATAGCGCCACCACGTGAATAGAGAGGGTTTGATGGAATTATTGTTTTATCTTTTACTTCATTTAATTATGTATCTGTGACTCTGTCTATAATAATAATAACTCAAATTTGACTCACTCACTATGGTTGACTATTTACTGTTTATAGCTCTCAATGCATACAGTATATCTTATAACAGACACAGAAACCTGAAATTAATAGCTTCTGTGATTATACAGTTCCAAACTCTATCGATCACATTTTTAACATACAATTCATCTTGGATCACAAGTGTATCTCGATAATCATATTTTACAGGTTAAACAGCATTTTTTAACCCTTTGTGCAACAATTAGTGAGTGCTAAATTCGACAGTAATCAAATAGTATCATTTAAGCGATCGAGATCCAAAAAGTTACTATAATGAAGTCAACATTAAAAAAGTAGTGAGAATTGGTTATACTATTGAAAAGAACAAATCTCTTGCTTTCAGCACTTGGCTCTTTCCACTAGGAAAATCAACTGAACCTATGAATATATATAAAATAGAAGTAGCCGTTATGTATGAACATGAGCGTCAATGTGGGGATGACTAGTTATTTATTACATTACCCATTCACTGATACATAAGAAAGCAAAAAGGAATCTTAAGCTTAAAGCTAGTAAGATTTATGTTCCTCCTTTCCAGCAAAAGATAAGAAGAAACTTAAAACACATAGATACTTACTTTGTTTTTGTGGTTTTAATGTCACTGAGAATCTGACCTTTGGCTTCTCCTAGTTTATGCTATCTCGATTGGAATTTTCGCGGCGAAAGAACTGAGAGATTCAGAAAAATACTTATCCATAAGTATGGCGAAAACTATGAACTTTTCTTCTATAAAGTGTAATCGAGAGATCTTACCTTTACTTACATCGCAGACGCTTTTTGCAGGGAAAATAATATTGGGATCAAGATTTTGTTGGGAAATGACAGCGAGCCGGACATTGCTCTTGCTGTATAAATAAGAAGCGTTGGGGTAAACAAATGGTAATGACTAATGAGAGATGAACATTAACGAATGAGAGAGCAATTCAGAAACAAAACCTGGCCCAAGTAGGAACAAATTTTTTGTTTGACATGTCGTCATTGTTGTCTTCCTCTTCATCTTCGTCATCCGAGCATTTGTATGGAGAGATGTTGTACGACTCTTCCATTTCTTCAATCCCCATGTTGTGTTCTTCAGACATGTTCCCTGGATTGCTTATCACCTATAAGCACAACAATTGTCATCTATTAAGATTGGTTTCATCTCTAAATTGCCTACAGAAGATGAGAGACTTGTACCTTGAAGTCATTATCTCTAGAGCTTCTTGAAGCATTGGTCTCGTCACTGGAATTACTCTTTGATCTTGCTTGTCCTCGGATTTTCTCAGCATTACTTTGGTCTGCTTTGAGTACCTTCTGTGCTTTAGTCCTCGCCTCCTAAAATTTCATTTTTGATTTAGCAAAACTCCCACATCACAATAGTCAAACAAAGTTTCTAAGAACCGAAACAAGAGGAGCGCTCTCTCTTACCATAGCTTGTCTTTTCAATTCTTTTTCAGCTTGTAGTTTTTCATCAGCCTCTCTTTGTTGTCGCTGAATTTCTGCAATGCGTTGTCTTTTAGCTTCCTTCAACTTTTTGTCTTCTTCTTCCCTCTGCCTTTTCCTGTCAGCCATTTCAAACTCCTTTCTCTTCCGCTCTTCTTCCTTCTTTTTCTTTTCCATCTCTTGCTTCCAAGCCATTTCCGCCTCCTTTTTCTTTCGATCTTCTTCTTTCTTTTTCTTCTCTATCTCCTGCTTTCTCAGATTTTCCTGTTCCTGTCTTGCCCGTTCAAGCTTCATAGCTTCCTTCTTCATCTTACGATCATTCTCTTTCTGTTCAGCAATACGTTTTGAAGCCTCAGCAGCCTCCAGGGCCTTTACTTTGACATCCCTCTTGCCTGGGGGAAACGTAGATGGGGTCAAATCAGGTGTATAAGTAGAGCAAGATGATAAAATGATACTTCCAATTTTAATTGGAAATTTCAAAAGCTTTATACTGGAAAGAGAAAACAATTACCTGTAATTAGTGCAGGCGCTGGTTTTTGCTGCTGCACAAGTGGAACGAACGAAGTGATGTTTGAGACAATGTTGTTGTGCCTAGGTTCTTTTTCTGGTAATCGTGGACCTACAGTTGTCAAACTCGAGTTGCAAGACAACTTAGGCTTACTGAACCTGCTACTAGGCGGTTTAACATTTCTTCTAGTACCTGCTCCACCTTGGTTCTCTTTACCTTTACCTGTGAATCTTCGGTTACTCAGCTTTCCCACTTTACTTTTGACACTGTTGCACTTAGCGGAAAAGCTGAATGCAGTATTGACAGAGTCTAGACTCTGTCTATCAACAGGAATCTTGGCTTCAGAAACAGATGGAAGAAACTTCATAGGGTCTTCATTAACATCACCATGAGGTTTCCTTTCAGCAGAGACATTTTCCCTTTCAAACCCAGATCCTTCATTGACAGCTTCAGATATCTCATCTATGTTTTCATTCTCCTCAGCTATGCAAGGAAGGTCCGGAATTGAGCTTCCTCGCTTCTCCGACCTCATAGACTTTGGAGTGTTCATACATAAGTTCTCAGCCTCCTCTTCTACGTTCTCATTCTCTTCGCTAATGCAAGGTAGGTCTGGTGTCTGACTGCTTCGTTTCTCTGAACTGGAAGACTTTTGCAAACTTCTATACCACAACTTCTCAGTCGGTGACGTGCAAGGATTCCTAGTCTCAGCAGATGAGCCAGCACCAAACAGAGGCAGGGAGTCAGTGTACGATCTTCCTGTATAATCATGGTTTCTCCCCAAGTTATCAAAGACAGAGCTACCCTCGAGATTCTGACTGAAAAACATGCCATCAAACAGTTCGTTTGAAATGGACTGATCCAAGTCTAGTTTTCCATCCAACTTAAATGTTTTAGCCAGCTGTAATGATGGAGTGTTCATGCAAGCAGACTTGCAAATCTGCTCTATCATTGCTGCACTTTCTGCTGTAGTCCTCGGAAGTTGGAAGCTGTCATGATTTAACTGGTTTTTGGAGCCGCTTTGATTTTCATCATCCGTTTGGATTATAAAGCCCTCCAAAACAGGGGGGCTTCCATCATCTGAGCTAATCACACCCAAGGGTGATAAACAAGGAGAATCATCTGAATCGTGAACAATGCAACTAGCTAATCCATGTGAGGTTTCTCCAGCATATGGCAAAAAGTTCATCTTTTCTGATCCAACTCCGTGATCTGGAGCAATTTGGCTCTTCTGTACACTTGGCTGTTCTGTTCTGAAGGAAAGTGAGGCAGGGCTCATCAATCCAGCTTCCTTGAATAAGTAACTCTGTAAACATCCATTTTTCTGGTTAATTGCACATCATACAGAACAAGAGAAATTATTTTGGGATTAAGAGCTTGAGCTGTACTGCAGTTTAATCTCTTGGTCTTGGAGAGCATTACTAATTTTAGGCATAAAAAGATTTCAAATTTTGGCCGATAATTTTTATGGAGCTTGATATATACATGTGTAGCATGAGAGGTGCTTAATACTACGACACTTAGGCCTAGAATGAGATTTTCTCATTAATTAAACACAATAGTACAGCTTTTAGTTGAAGTATAATTGTCTAATTCCCTTTTGGAGCATGGAATGAAGATATCTTTTTTTTTAACTTGAGCGGTTAAAACGTATTTGTCAAGGGAAAGAGATTTAATATTTAGAAGACATTTAACTTGAGAAGACATCGAAATAATGCACATACCTCTTCAAATCGTAAGTCAGCTGAAGATGTGGATCCGATCATCTTTTGTAACTCAACACCATAGTGATCTGAAGATGCAGATCCTAGCATCTTCTGTAACTCAACCTCATAGTTATCGAGGTTGGGACATGCGGCTTCTTCCTTATGATGTACTGTATCCCAAACAGAATCTAGCTCGAGAATGTCTCCCTGCACATATAAAATCCCATGATTCAAAAAGCATCTTAATTACATTTGGAAGGAAGGAGCAGTTCAAGACTCTCATATATTGAGCTGTCCCAAGACATAGGGATAGAATTTTCACCCCTGGGCTAGACGAAAGCACTCTACTAGTTGGTTTTTCCAGGATTCTTCTCCGCTTATTCTGCCGCATGGAACCCCCCATGGAGGAACTAGAGCAGAAAAATTCCTGAATAGAGCTCTTTGGATCATGAGACTCATCTGTTTCTGTACAAGTTACATCTCTTTTAACTGGGGGAACACCTTTTTGAAAGGATGTTTCATGTTGAGATCTCTTTGTCAACGCATCTATATGGCCAGTGAATGTATTTGACTCTGTAGGTTCATTCTCTCCCACTTTTAAGCCAGAGTGGCTTGCATGCGATTCCATTTCTGGTACCATTTCTATTTTTAACCCATTGTGATCCTCAATTTCATTCATTTCATTGTCTGCCGAGAGATTTACTCCAGATTCAGTGAGAGATGGGACATCAAATACCCTTGCAGCGGGTGATGGTGTGGGGACCTTCTCCATCATTGATTTTTCTCGACTATTCACTGGAACCTCATCGAAGTTGTGTTCTTCATTATCATCAAGATGGGGTGATTCAGGCTTCACAAAAACAGGGCGATCAGGGGTTCTCAGCGATGAATTCCCTTCTCTAACTTCAAGCTGTTTGTCAGCCGATTTATGATCAGAGCCAATAGAAAGAGCCTTATATTCATTTGCTGATTTCTCTTCTATGGCTGAGCTTCTTGGCCTACTAATTCTCTCATGGCATTGGCTACTCCCAGCTTTGGTCAATGAACCCAGTGGCTGCACTTCCTTGAACCCACAACTAATATCACATCTTTTAGAATAGTCAATCAAGTTTGCCGGCATACCGCTTTCCTGAAGAATAGCTTCAACCACCAATGGCTCAACTACCGTGATGTCTGTTTGGTTTAAGCTTCTAGAATTTGAAATACTGCTAATTTCAATCGATACACCATTTTTATCTTCCTCCACTAATAAAGCTTCACCAGTAACAGCAATAGGCTTCAAAAATACACTTTCATCGTCTGATTGCATTACTGAGTGTCTAGACTGCGGTTCAACTGAAGACGACTCAACAAAGCCCAAAATCTTGGTCTTGGATATAGAGTCTTGGATTGCACCCACACATAAGGTCTCATCTGGGGAGATACCAGTTTGGCTTTCCCTTTCAGCACTTGAACATCTGTTAGTGTCAACATATTCACCCTTTTCTTCTGATTGATCGTTGCTAGTAATAACTACTAAACCTTCAACATCAACAGTAGAGGGATTCAGTGAATCTTTTACATGGCTACCTTGCAGTACTGAAACTGAATCTCTTGGCTCCACGTCAATTGCAGAAGACTCAACAGAGCCTGAATGCTCGATCTTGGATCTATTTTCTCGAGCATTACTTCTGGATCTTGAAATGATTTCAGAGTGAAAGATGCTCGTTCCAGCATCTGTCACCATAGAAACTTCATTAGTCATAGGTATTACTTGGGGTAATTCTACTTCATGATCAGCACAGTGAGAGGGATTTGAACTTATTGATGGAAAGTTACCCGAAAAGGAGTTGCTTGATTTTTGATGTTTCCTCTTGGAGATACCTTGACTTGAGCTTTTAGATCTTGTACTTCCGTTGAGATTAGCTGTTTCCTTGCAACTTCTGCTTTTGGGATCATCCACTTGCTCATCTACTTTGGCAGATACTTCATCAAGTGTCTCAATGGACTGTAATATATCAATGTCTTTCGCATGACCAGAATCGAGTAGAGATTCTGGTACAATAGAAGCATAAGAATCCCCACTCGAAGATTTTTGCACCGAAGCCACTTTCTGATGCAAGGTAAGAGACTCTGTAGTTAAACTACGTTTAATACACTGATCCCCTCCTTTACCTTGAGAATTACTGTTCTCCACTTCGCCTTGACACTCTTCATCATTCTCATCATGCTTAAATAACTTTATCTCACTCACACTATCAGACCTTAAAGAACCAATCACAAAGCCTACATCTCCACCCGGAGAAGGTTTGAGCTCATTTCTACTGTTTGAACGGCTTTTTAACGCTTTGGCACTACTACGATCCCCTCCTTTACCTTGAGAATTACTGTTCTCTACGTTGTCTCGACATTCTTCATCATTCTCATCATGCTTAAATAACTTTATCTCACTAACACTATCAGACCTTAAAGAAGCAATCCCAAAGCCTATATCTCCACCCAGAGAAGGTTTGAGATCATTTCTACTGTTTGAACGGCTTTTCGACGCTTTGGCACTACTACGAAGCTCCAAAGCTTTTTGACGTGACCTTGATCTCTGCATCTTAGCAAGTGATAATCCAGGGTCAAGGCTAGTGTCTGGTTCAGTTTCATCTTGAAAATAACCGAGAGGTGATGGTTTCCGCTTACAACCAGTAGTTGAGACACTTTTGGGAACCCTTTTTCCTAGGCTACATCCAGGAGATGTAGCGTCAAGATTAGTTTCAACTCTCTGATTCTGGGAGTATTCGAGAGATGGACAACTTTGATTCTCTTTGCAACCGATTGAGACACTTTCTGGCAGTCTCTCTTTCTCATGGACATCTCTAGGAGATGCAATATTAGCACCCTGCTCGTGAGAATGATTTGAAACCCGTCTGACTAAGTTGTGTGAGAGGTCGTGTTGAAGTTCCTCTTCAAGCAACTGCTCTTCTAGCGGGTTATTTACCATAGACGTCAGGTCTTGTCTTACTACATTGTCAGCTAGAAAACTGACAGGCCGTTGATATGAAAAGGGACGATTGCTAGGACAAATGATGGAAGGTCTGGATGGAGGAAATAGAAGTTCTGATATAATCTCCTCCTTATTCAACTCTGTATACATTATAAACAAATATCACAATAAGAATCGCAAACAGAAACTCTTCCATTCAACATCATTTATGCTTATGAGTTATGAAAACCTAACGCCACTTCTAATCTCTCAATCCATCTTCTCACAGTAGTACGACATCAAACAACTTCGCAGCATCAAAATTGAATAAAATTGCATTGACGAAAAGAAGAAATCTAAGAATAATGATCCGTAAAATCAAAGACTACTATCAATTTTGCTCCAATTAGCCAAGCAAATCTACATATACCATCACGGACAAGAAATTGAGCACTATGTCAAAACAAATTGAGCACTAAAATCAGATTCAACAACTACCGGCAGTTTGGGAAGGTAGAGACGGAGACCAGAGCCACGGCGGAGGAGATACTCCGGCAAGTAGACATTTGGAGGCTAAATGGTGGTCATAGAGATCTACTTGTTGCTTGACCTGCTCGACGATTCGCCTCTTCCTCTCAAAGATCTGAACGAAATGATTCTCCATCTTCACATTCGCCGTTCCCCTACGATTATCCATGCCGGAAAACATCGCCGACGACCTACTCTAGAGATAGAGCGAGAGAGAGAGAGACTGTTAAGCGCGGATTTGAATTTCAAAATTTTGGGGATAAAGATTTCATTTTCGCTTTCGTTTTTCATTGAAAAAAATAGAATGATGCTTTTTTAGCTTTTAACCCTCGCTACCTGAACGAAGCGTTTTGATTTAAACGGTGTCGTAACATCTATCTTCTCGTTAGCTGTAAAACGCAACGTTTTAACAAAACCTTTTATACGGTGTCGTTTCACTCTATCTTCGTCCCTTTTTCGCTCTCCCTGATCATTCGAGACTCAGATTCGATCATCAGAGTTCAATGGATGTCCCCTTACCAGTCGAGAAATTATCTTATGAATCAATGCCTGAGTAAATTTCGAAGCTTTTTTTTTTGGTCAACATTTCGAATCTTGTCTCGATTTTTGATTGCTTTCAATTGTCTTTTTTTTATGAAAATTCCGATTTTGTGAATTTCATCTGCTTGGTTACTTGATGATGATGAGATTCTCACCAGTTTTATTGTAAATTTCTGGTTGTGTTGAATTTTTTTGATTGTTTGTCTGAATCAGGGACAAAACTTGTGTAGTGCTTGTGGCAACTGGGAGTTTCAATCCTCCAACTTTCATGCATTTACGCATGTTTGGTCAGTTTCAGATTCGATCATTCCGAAAATTCTGACAATTTGAGGCATAATGACCAGTGTTTGTATATTTTGGTTTATAAAACCGGTATATGACAAGAAAGAACTTAAAAAGTTTCTGGATTATTCATGTCAAACCAAAGTTTTCAACTGTTGATACTTGTCCAAAGATCTTGCTGCGACCTTTTGTTCAAATGTATATGTTTCTTTTACATCAAACTGAGAAGTTCTCTGTATTTTTTTCGTCGTTAGAGCTGGCGAGAGATGAATTACACTCAAAAGGATTTCATGTTCTTGGAGGCTATATGTCTCCTGTTAATGATGCATATAAGAAGAAGGTATAACAATTTTGACATCTTGAGAATCTTAGTTTCTTTCAATAGTTAATGACTCTTGTTCTTCTAAACCAATGCTAATGGCGACATGTTACATGTGATGAAACTAAGAGCTTCTTTTTTCTTTCTAGCTCCCAAATTTCTTCTGTTTAATTTCCTTTAGAAATAATATAATCATCAGATTCTGTGTAGGGCCTTTTATCTGCAGAACATCGTTTAGAGATGTGTAATCTAGCCTGTCAAAGCTCTGAGTTTGTAATGGTTGATCCATGGGAGGTACTTTCCCATCCCTCCAAAAGCTTTTAATAAGTTCTCTTTAGAGGAACAAAGCGTTGTTTACAAAACTGTGGAATCTGTTTCTACAGGCATCTCAAAGCAGCTACCAACGAACTTTGGCGGTTTTATCAAGGGTCAAGACTTTCTTTACAACAATTCGACGTGTACCCGAGGGTAAGATAACTGCAAAAAAACTGTCCTTTTTGTGGCCTTTTTTAGCATCTTTTTACTCATCGTTGATCTCATTTACATTTTTGGGTAATTGCTGGATTGTCTCATTGTGGTTGCTATGTTTCATCATACGTTTTAGCTACTATCTAAATGACAAACTCAAATTTATAGTATGTCGTTTCTAATGCTAATGAAAAACTGTCCTTTTTGTGGCCTTTTTAGCATCTTTTTACTCATCGTTGATCTCATTTACATTTTTGGGTAATTGCTGGATTGTCTCATTGTGGTTGCTATGTTTCATCATACGTTCTAGCTACTCTCTAAATGACAAACTCAAATTTATAGTATGTCGTTTCTAATGCTAGAATCTCTCAAAGTCATGCTACTATGTGGCTCGGATTTACTGCAATCTTTCTGCACTCCCGGTGTTTGGATCCCTGAACAGGTAAACCAAGGCAGCATCATTATAGAAGAGAAGATGTGTTTTATCGATTCTACTCACAATTATGCTCCTTTTTCAATAATTTGTTTTTGAAGGTAAGAACTATTTGTAAAGACTATGGCATTGTCTGCATCCGTAGAGAAGGACAGGATGTTGAAAATATGATCTCTGGTGACGCAATCTTAAACGAAAACCATGTAAGTATTACCAGGTTTCTTTTCTGATTCCGCTGTATTAGTTTGTACACGAGGTTTTACTGAATGGTGCTACCTCGGTTTCTTTTGCAGGCTAACATAAATATCGTTGACAATATTGTTCCTAATCAGATCAGTTCGAGTAGATTAAGGTATTGTTAGATTTATCCTTCTCTAAGAACGTTTTTTCTACACTAAAAAATGATTTCTCTTGCTCATTCCTCTGCCTCTTTCAGGCAATGCATTTCGCGAGGGTTATCGGTTAAATACTTGACTGAAGACAGAGTTATAGATTATATCAGACAACATCAACTTTACACTGAGCTCACATGATAAAAGCTGAGAGGATTGTTACTTCATCTGATCAATATTACTTACAACACAACCCATAAAATAAACAGATGTAATCAGATCAGATATATTTTTTGAATCTCTGTATATTTTGAGATTCTTATTTATCAAAGTTCGGTATGCTGATCGGTCGATCGATCACCAGATTTCTACAGTTTAGTCCCTTAAACGAGTTTGAGCCTTTTTCGAGAGTGTAGGTCTGAAGCCATCAGATTTCAGAGTACAGTCATCTGTTTCCTTGTGAAAAGATGTTCTTGAATGAGGATAACAATACTTTTTAGATCATGGGATTGGCTTCAAGCAGATAGGGAAGATCTACAAGGAAACCAGGGGACCTCGTCTACGTAGAGAAAGTTGGACCTCGGATACAAAGAGAACTCAATGGAGAGATCAATCAAGTATTCCAATGGCAAAAGGATCAAAACTCCAAGTCTCCAACAAAGAATTTACGTTTCATTGTTTTTAGCGGAATTTATATTTCATTCTTTTAACTATTGGCCAATGCCATATCATGTAATTCATTCTGTAAGAAGAGGTATATTTCTTATTAATTACTTTTTTTTTTTGTAAATAAAACTCAACGAATTCAAAATCTGAAAAAAAAAAAAAAAACAAATTTTACTTTTTAACAAGTAGAACGTTTACATCACACAACTGATATCTAGTGAAAAAAAATTATAAATATTTTATGAGGTACTAACTTTTAAAACCATATTTTATATGTATCATAACCTTTATCATTATGAGAGTAATATATTACTATTCTTCCAATCCTAAACTCTCACCAATCTCTACATATTGTGGCTCAAGGGTCTAAGGAAATGAAAATATAAAATCACAAACATTGATTTTTATTTTCCTTAAAAAAAATAGAAAGGTACATCTCACAATTGAAATTAAGAAAACACAACATATTTAAAATCTCAAAATACTTCAAATTAACAAGGAAAAAAGAGGGATAAACTCCGTGGATGCTCACTTGCTCAGTCATGACTAGGCCTGGGCATAAAATCCGAAATCCGAAAACCGATCCGAAACCGATCCGAAAAATCCGGCTCCGAATCCGAATCGAATAGTCACAAAACCCGAACGGATAATGAATTCTCATATCCGAATTATCCGAACCGAACCCGATCCGAACCGAAAACCGAAAGGATATCCGAAAACCGAAAATAAAATTATATTTCCAAAAATATTAGTTATATTTAGCTATAATTTTATAACAAATAACAAAAATATCCTAAATAACCTAGATATCGGAAAGTTTTTAGTTATATTTGTTAAAATTATACATATTTTGGAAAACTTAGCCAAATTTTAGTAAGATTAAAACTATTTTTTATTTAAATTGAACATTTTTTTAGTTTTTTTTCCTCGCAAACCGATCCAAAATTAATCCGAAACCGATCCGAATCCGACACTATCCGAACCGAATCCGATCCGAATAGTCATAAAATCCGAACGGATAATAAAATCTCCTACCCGAATTATCCGAATCCGAATAAATCCGAACCGAATCCGATCCGAAATCCGAATGCCCAGGCCTAGTCATGACGGTGGAAACCCAATACAATCCACGGAACAGTATACTGTGCGGCCGGCACCTTTTAACTTGAAACATATTGGGAATGGACAACGGCGCATGCATCCAATGCAAATTGGTCGCGAGAGGGAACTGTTAAGATGACCTTGAACATGTATCCAATACCAACGATGATCCTTAGGTGAGCACCTGCTAAAAGAGAGGTAATCTTTTTTTGTTTCACCAGGTTTCATGTACATGTCTTCCCCAAATAAACACTCAACATGAAGAGTGGTGCAGCAGTCATTGCATTCATAAAATCGTAATTCTCTTTTTTTCTTACTCCAACTATACCCCCGCTTTTTTACTTCTTCTATTTTGCCTTCGCAAACCTCACACCAGTCGGGTTGATCACTTGCCTTTTTCCCATCGCAAATTGTGAGAAAATGACTGTCATGCTTATACCTTGCCTTGTATGGGAACGTAGCACAACGGAAACATATAGAATAATCGCATTTCATGCAATTTAACTTTGAATCGTCGCTTTCGTATTTACACATTTGACATCGTGTCTTTTCCTCTGTGTACCAAGGTAAGAATAAGGGATGTTCGTGACCCTGATATTCAAATGGTTCGATAATCGAGGCACACCGTACGTCTAGCTGGAAGATTTCTTTCTCTTTACGATACTCATAGTAAAATCCACTACCAGAACGATAACATTCACTACAATGAAAGTAACCTAATTCCCAATCCTCTTCTCGAATATTGGTGGCAACTTTTAGTGTAAGTGGATGTGGGTATAAGGGATATCGTTTCATACGTGGAGCTTCTGCACAGCTTTTATGGAGGATATAGTGGCATTCCAATTCCATGCATGAATAGAATTGACCTTCGTAGATCGGAAGCGCACACCCTCGACAATACTTCTTTTCGTCATACTCTCTGAACATCTCAAGTTGTAGTTGGTGACTATGAAAAGGATGGAGTATTATTCCATCAGCTATCCTCTTGAACGGCTCACCGTCGTCTATAATATCATCTTCTTCTGGTACGCCTTCCAGATCTTTACCATCCCACACCTTTGGATTTAATGCACATTTTGAATGAACAAAATAAGCATCACATTTATTGCAAGCGTAAGCACCATAATCGTTGTCAACTTGTTGATGACAGGCGCGGCAAGACAGATTTCCAGATGGAAGAGAAGAGGTAAAAGAGATACGGTGGTGGTGACGGGATATTCTTATGACATGTGGGAAACCCAGACAGTTTTCATGGATCACGAAAACACATTCGACACAGATGTATGTGGGATCAAGCTTCTTAATCATTGCACAGAAACTGCAAACTAAAGAAGCTTGTGCGGGGAAAAAGGTAAGAGGATGGGGATGGGTTTTTGGATGGTCGACAACAAAGGGTATTGACCTCATCGCACAGACCGGATGCATACTCAAACTGCAGGTGGTACAATGATAGAGCATGTTCAAACTGGTAGATTTTTCACAAAGAATACACACTCTAAAATAGTTTCCGTAACTATAAAGTTGAAGAGAATGAAAGGGGTGGGAAGGGTGTTTGATCTCAAGTGGAGACTGGACGCATTCTTTGTGGAAATGTTTTTGACACTGGAGACATGCAAAATAGCTTGTGCTGAGCATTGTTTTTGTGCATGCACCGCACTCGAATTCGTCAGAGCTAGGTTTTTCATTGTTGCACCAAAAAAGAGGGACTACAGGGAGCTTACAGATATCATGTTTGGTCGCAATCAAGCAAAGATCGGCCTTTACGATCACCGCTTCTTGTGCTGGGGAAATGAGGAGAAGAATTAAACGGCATAAACTTCTCCTCATCCTCCTCCGTCAGGTTGAGCTTGTGAAATTTGATACGGGCAGCAGGACAGAAAAAAAGAGGTTGAAGAGGGAGGTCGTCGCCATCAGAATTTATGGCTAGTGTTTCACCAGAGGAGGTTGGGTTTTCTGTTTGTGCTAATGTGAATACCCAAAAATATTTCCCATCCATTTCCTTCTTACGAAATACACCCACGGAACTCATGGCTGCTCAAATGGGAATTTGGATTTTTTTTTGTGATATTCTTCTTCACCTTGTTACCCCTTGCATATATACTAGCAGGTCATTTAATATAAAACTTGAGAATACAGCTAAACTTGGTCTTTTTATATTCTTTGTTATAAAAAAAGTCGTTGTTATTATTTCGAATAGCTGTACAATCTTCTTTATGTATTAGTTTATATTTTATTCTCATTACAGATGAGACCGTCTCTTCCGGATCTTGTTTCTCTAAAGGTTATATAGTTTTATATGAAAATGCACTCTCTCGATTGGAACAAGCGTTTCGGATCCCATCTGGGAACGGGATTGGGAACACGTCATGATTTCACGTAGGACATAATTAAGTGTAGAGTAAATAATATTATTTTTACACAAGAAAATATTACAACCAAATAAAGTTAGATAGTAATAGGTTTCGTATGTTTTGGACTTTTGTTATCATCTAAAAACTTTTAAATCCTTTTTATTTTATTGATATCTTATATAATGCAAAACCCTCCAAGTTACCAAAAAAAATGCAAGATCAACTTCAAAGTAAAAAAAAAACTGTAAAACGATCATTTAATAAAAACAGCAACATAAACGACGACGTAAACAATTTAAGTTTTGGTTTTAACATATTTCAAAACACATTGTTTCAAATCCTCCAAATTTCTCTAAATCACAAACCCTAGAATTAGGTGAAAAAAACTGTAAAACAAACCTCGATCATTTAATAAAACCAGCAACATAAACCTCTACGTAAACAGTTTATGTTTTGGTTTTAACATATTTCAAATCACATGTTAAGAAAAAAAAAACTAAAACCTTGATCTATTGTTTCAAATCCTCCAAATTTCTCTAAATCACAAACCCTAGAATTAGGTGAAAAAAATTGTTCTATCCTTTCGTAAGTTTAAAACGATTGAATATATAGTCTATCGTTTTTAAGAGTTACGACATCAAGTTTAGTTACAATGTTGGTTTTTTTTAATCAAATGACTGGATGAAGCCAAAAAAAAACAAAAAAACTCAAATGACTGGATTTTGTAATACATTGAAAAAAAATTACGTCAAGATTTTTGTTGCCAGTTTATAAAATAATCAAGGTTTGTTTAAATGGACTAATTAGAATGCATTACAAATTTAAACTAGAACAAAAAAATAATTTTATAAATTATGTCCCATAGCATCTTATCCTGATCATTACTTGTCCACCACTACGTTTTCTAACTTGAAATTTATTACCAACTACGTACTGGATTATTGAGCATGTCTTTTATATATTTTTAAACTCCGAGTTTTCTAACACTTAACAAATTGTCAAACAAAAAAGTTGCAATCAATATTGTGAAGAAAAAAAGTCTCATTTAATATTTACTCCCACTTGAAAATATTAATTGCCAATTAAAAAAATGTAAAGAAGTACCACTTGTCCACTTGGAAAACATATAATTAACCTTTTATTAAATTCAATTCTAAACAAA